TACTACTAAGACTACTAATGAAATTATCTGCTTCGTAAACCTGACAGTTATTAAATTAGACCTATATGAATCTTTATTTCAACAGAAACTTGAACGAAACAGAAAAATTCTGCATTTTGATCACATAAAACAATCACGTGTAGTAATGAAAGACAATAACGGATAAAGAATACCTTCTTGGCAGCTCCCGTTAACGATATATTAGATATCTTTTTAGAGAGATTTTCAGGAGCCTTAAGTTCCTCCATGATCCCTGTTGCATGTTCTATGCAGATGTTGGATCTGCACTCCTCACACAACACCTTCAACTCTTTGACCATCGCCTGTTAAGGGAAAAGTAGAAGCAAAATAGAATAACTATGCTTTTCTACCCATCATTATAATAACTGAATCCAAACAAAATATCATGGTATATAATACCATGGAAAATGTTTAATACGCATGATAGCTACAGAAAACCATATGCCGAGATGTTCAATGAGCTAAATCAGTTTTAAATATGCTGAGGGCAAGCATTTTCTTTAGTGTAACTCCAAAAAGTAAAAATAAATAAATAAATAAATAAACAACTGTCAAAGAAAATGATTATACTCATTACACCACCTGATCGCCAGTGCCTGTAGCCTGGAATTTTTGCAAGGCATCTTCAGCAAGAGAATGGGCACGGGTGTACAATGCATATGCCTCTTTCCTCATACCAGCAAGGCTGTATGATTTACCCAAAAAGAAACACCTGCCAAGAAGCAGAACACCTGTAAATCACATATCTTTGTAGCATCATTTGATAAATCATAAATCACCTTTTTAATACAATTCTCTGCAAGAATAAGAGACAAATCTCTGCGTAAAGATCATGAAAATCTAAGAAACATGACACTGAATAAAAATAGCTCAAATGCTCAGAAATCAAAACAATGATCAGATACTGACAAACGGAGGATCATGAAGATTGATACACGAGATGGTCCAGTAGCGTGGGAAAAAGACTTGGAACAATATCCGAAAAATAATTTTCAAAGAGGTAGTCCACCAGGAACGGGATAAAAGATCATGAAGATTGATATGCTAAAAGAGAAATGACAGCGTATTATTTCACCATATCTTATAAAAAAAAA